CGTCCAACTCGGAGAATGATTGGTTGCCTAACAAATATAACGATGTTCACACGAAATTTTATTTTTGCACGATGATAGTGTCACGTAGAGCGTCTCGGACAGAAATATTCGTGATAGACACGTGAAATATAAGAATAAACGGATATTAGTGAAAGTAAGTAGTGCTGGGGAGGCGAAGCCTAGCAACTAGGTCACTTTTGACCCCTTTTTGTCGACCCCATAGTACTAACACTGATTTGGTGCGCGCTAGGGACAGCACATAACACAACAACCATGGCTCGGGATTAACTTCCGATACAGAAATTGGAACCTGCAAGTCACTTGTCGACGTACTAACTACTCAGGCTCCTTGTCCTGAGGTTAGGAACAATTTAAATTTCTTCTTCTTGTTCCTACTTTATTAATAGGCTCATGCCTGTTTTACTTCGGTTTTTACCCTCAACTGATATTGTCTGACCATCTTTTCCTCGGTCGTCCGATTGATCTTCTTCCATTTGGCGATTTGTCTCTTGCTATTCCTACTGTACTATTTTCTGTCATTCTTTCTATGTGTTGATTCCATTCTATTTTTCTTCTTTTGGTCCTCAAGTTTATTTTCTCTATACCACATCTCGTTCGTATTTCCTCACTTCTTACTCTGTCTCTTAGAGTTTCGTTTGTTATTTTTCGTAAGACTTTCATTTCTGCTGTTTCCAATAATCTTTGTGTTTTCGCCGTATCTGCTCATGTTTCCGCTGTGTACGTCATTATCGGTCTTATTGTTGATTTATATATCCTAGTTTTCGTTTCCGTTGTGAGGTATTCCACACCCTGCTGCTCTGTTCGCCATGTTCAATTCTTTTTGTACTTCTTCCACTTTTCCATAGCTTGACAGTTTGATTCCCAAGTATTCCGTTTCCATCACTTGTTCGATTATTTTGTCATTTACGACCAGTTTACATCGTCTTGGTTCCGCTGATATCACTGCCGATTTAGTTTTCTCTGTTGAAATCACCATGTTGTTTATGAGCGCCGTATCTTCGAATTCTTTAATTAATCTTTGTAGGTCATCTTCATTTTCGGCTATTATTATGGCGTCGTCGGCGTAGCATTTTACCTGCATTTCCTTTTCTCCCATTCTATATCCTCTTCTCTTTTTAACTTTCTTTATGATTTCATCCATTATCAGATTAAATATTAGTAGGCTCAACGAATCTTCTTGTCTAATGCCAGTTTCATACTTGATAGGTTGCGAGAGTTTTCCTTTACATCTTACCATAACTATGTTATCTTTATATATATATTCTCAATAGTTTTTACTAAATCCAGTGGTATTCCCCTGTCATAATAAATGTATCGCGTCCCGAATTCTTACTCTATCAAACGCTTTCTTCAAATCTATCAGGCACATAGGTGTATACGTATATGCTGGTTTGTTGTATTCCAGCGACTTTTCTTTTATTTGTCCGGAATCCTTGCTGTTCCTCTTGCAGAGTTATTCGTTCGTTTATTTTTGTCGCTATTATTGTTGTTGTCAGTTTGAGTGTTGTATTTAGCAGATTTATTGCTCGATAATTATTGGGGTTTTTCTTATCTCCTTTCTTGAAGAACATCAGCATGATCGCTCTCCTCCATTCATCTGGTATTCTGTTCGTGGTGATTATTAAGGAGTTACAGTTGTTGTACAAGGTAATCATCTCCATATTCTGAGAGTTCATTTGGTATTTGATCTCCTGATGACTTTCTATTTTTCAATTTATTTATTTCTTGTTTCACATCTTGGGAGATTTCAGTCTTTTCATCAGTTATTATATTTTGCGTTTCTGGTAAAGATTCTTCCTTTTTGTTTTCTAAACATTTCTGTCAGGAAGGCAACCCATTCATCCTCTTTTATGTGTTCTATTTCAACTAGTTATTTCATTTCGCTTCTTTGTAGTCTTATGATGCGCCATACTTGTTTCTGTTGTCCATAGAAATCCATCTCTAGTCCTTTTGTGAATCTTTCCCAGTAATCTGTTTTTGTTTTTCTTGCCAATTGATGAGTTTCAGTTCTTATTCTATTCTTCATATGATTCATTGGTTTTATCTGACTTATATTTTAGGAAAGCTTTCTTTTTTTGGTGACATTTTTGTTTAACCTCTAGTGTACATGGTGTTTTCGTTGACCACTTTTTGTTTATGTTTATTATTTTCGTTTCAAGGGCTTGAATTTCAAACTGAAAATTCTCTTTGGCTATGACAGACGATGACATTGAAATATTTGCACCACTGCTTGGCCTCACTTGCCACTATGTTCCTTTTTTGTCCATCGAGTGCGCGCCGATCGATTTAGTTCTCCCTCCATGCACGTTGCTCCCAGCAAATAGATCATAACATGGAGAAATTGAAAATAAGCATACAAAACCAGTTTTGGAACGAAACCCTGATTTACTGGGCTAACAGCGTTGGAAAGAGAAAAGATCCTATCCGGTCTGATAATGCCTCTCATGATTCGGTGGTGTTTGGCAAATTGATTCCTTTGAAATTGAACCGAAGATGGGATTTAGGCGACGCGCTAGCAAGGGTAGGAAAGGGCGTATATATCGGGAAAAGTTTTATTGAAAGTAATGATTTTGTTGACAACGGGCTTACGATTGTCGATGGAATGGAATTACCTACAGTCGATTGCTATCCGGCCTGGATATCTGGATAGATAGATCGATTTGGTAGACGGCATAGGGGTAGAGAATGAGCGAGGTAATAGAGTTAAGGTACGTTTCCCATATAACAAGTTGCAGGCACATATGTCGGACGTATATTGCAGAATAGACTGTCAGAACGTCTAGTACATGTTGCGCTAGCTGCACCCAGCACATCGATAATAATTTGTTTATGTGATATCTGAAATTTATCCTGTGCTGATAGTTCTTCATGTTTTTCTAGCCAATTTGGAAATTATTCTTTACCGATGTTGGTCACAGTTCAAAATGCCAATATGTTTTATATTTATTTGTCTTCAGATGACAGTTTTCTTGTTTTACTTTCCACGTCGTCTAGTGGAGGAAGTATTGTAATCGCGGAAAATTTCTAAAATGAGATATTCTGTTTTGATGATGTTATATGAGGTGTAGGTACATCAGGGAAAATCATGTCACTCATTTCCGTCGGCCTGAGTGTCTGTCTGTCAGTCTGTCTGTCTGCTAATCCAACTCTAATTTGGAAAGTACTGCTCGGATTTAGATGAAAGGTTACTACTATGCCAAGGACGGGAAAGCTTTGCAGTTTTTGAAAATCGGTCTAGTGGCTTCGTTCTAGACTCTAGACGTTTCAGGAGGTCCTGATCATTTTCGAAAACATTTTCAGAGGTAAAAATTAGGTAGCAAGTGAAGTGCTATGCATATACAAGGTGGGCGTGATATTATCTTTATAGACGAGCATTATGATTTGAGTGCAATTTTATGAGGTTACTTCCTTTCGATAGGTAATATTATACAGGGTGCTAGGGAAATAATATTCGTAACTTTAAGAGGTGATTCCTTGCATTAGTCTAAGAAAAAAAGTTCATTATAGCCAATGTACGAAAATCAACCGTTTCGGAGCAAAAAAATGATGAACTTATTTCTTTATAGTCATGAAATAAATTAATTTTGCACCTCAGTAATTTAAATTCATATGCCTAATAGCGTAAAATGTATCAATATATCTATTTATTAATTAACTGTCTCTAAAAAAATAATTTTCTTGCTTATTAAATACCATTTTCCGGAGAAAAACAAACAAAACAAAATCCCTCATACAACTGGCAACGTCGTAGTCTGCCTGCACTGCATGTATCATCGCGTGTTGTTGTGATTACTGATACATTTAACTGTAACTTTATGTGATTTACGGATGTTGTTTTTTTCTTTTTTCGTGCATCGCATCGTTTCAAATAAGTGACTGATAATCGAGGGAATTGGTGGTGTGTATCACCACGTACCGATAAGTTGTCATTTTTGTACTGTACCGAAAGCGTTATTAGATATAAAATATTAGCCACAAAGAATTGCGTAAAAGTATTCAATAATTCAAGGCATACAAACATATCCTACAAATGTAAAAAAATCGATGAATTAGTCGCGGTCGTCGTGCGCTTGTATCGCGGTTGCGTTTCAGCGTTGCCAAATGTTTGAGAAAATTTAATTATTTACGACTCACTTTCCTCGAAAACGCTTGATTTTCGGACATAAGTTGTAATGAACTTTTTTTGTTTAGAATAATGCAAAGAATCACCTCTTAAAGTTACGAATATTATTTCCCTAACACCCTGTATAGTATATGTAACATATATAATATATTAGTGCGTATCAAGACCCATTATAATTGTCGACAATAGTCTTTCAGCAAAGCCATCTGTCAAAGAAGTAAGGCTACCAATCTGAGGATTTTCTTTTTTCATGAAATGCCTAAATAGTGCACTACTGGTTCTGACAAAACCTACGCCTGTATCACGCCAACATCGCACAATTTTAAGATGCCATCACGCAAAACCAGAAAAGCCCAAGATAGCCTGGGATAGGCATTCCCGCCCCCAAAAACGTCTAGCACAACCAAAGCGACATACGAGCACTGGATTATCTGTCGTGTTGGATGTACTAGACATACCACCCTCTCTTATCGTCCAGAAAACGCCAAATGAGTTATGGAACGTCAAATCCCACTCATTACTACTGCCCTAATATAACAGTCAACCGGTGTGTAGCGACTACAGTTCTGGGTTCGTTTTCACGTTCACGAGATCATTTTGCGCTTTACTAACTTACTCATGCTCGCTTGTTGCTAAGTAGATGGTGATCGTCTTTTCAGAACGTTATTTGTAACAATTTGTCGATACAAAAGTGCCATGCATATGTTGCGAACCTTTGAGAGGATTTTTTAATTTTTAATTTATGCTTGCTACTTGACTCTTTCATGTTTAGCATTGATTAACGCATTCTACCTGAGGATAGTCAACCATACCCTGTATTCCGACGTTCAAAAAGGGATCCAATAAACCTTAGCGCCATCTATGAGATAGTACCAGAACGGAAAAATGAATTCATAAATCTGATTTGAAAAGTGTGAGTGTTTTGATCTGCTACTATCACATATATAGCGTCCTGATCTTCGTTTTTTGGCGCCTCTCTAATGGCTATCTTCAGGTGGGATAGATTAATCAGAGGCCTTAGCTTGGAGATTATTTCATGTTTTTATTGTTTCAGATTGTCAGGCGCGATTTCTTCGGGCGACCTATAGAAAAAGTTGCAGGTGAGTTCATTGCATTAAATTTGTTTCTTTAATTTTCAGATGCCTATCCCTAACAATTCAAATCAAATTCACATCTTTATTTACTGCTAAATACACAGTGCGTGTTTGCAGAAGTTGAAAAAAGACAGTCATTTATCAGCAATAAGATAAAGAAAGCAATAAACATGAGAAATATATACACCTTTACAATCAAAAAAAATGGAAAGCACAAAAATAAATTGGAAAGGTCTAATGGAATTCTGAAAAGTCGCTGTTCAAGAACTCATCAAAGTTGTAGTATGTTTTGCTGATCAAGAAGCGTTTTATTATCATTTTGAAAGGCTAGCATTAAGGAGCTTGACCTTATCTGGACTTGCATTATACGTAGTCGTGCCATAAGTTCTGTCCCATGATAATCTCATGATAAAAATGAAACAAGATAAGATATATTTATATGAAAGATATTATTTATTCGACAACATTTTTAGAATTCATAATCAAACAGTTTTATTCAAAATGTCCCCCCTTGGCCTTCACACACTGCTTCAATCTCGCGGGCCACTCATCTATCACTGCACGCACAGCTTCCAAAGGAATAGCTGCCGCTGATCGGATCAAATCCGCTTTCAGGGACTCGATATTACGGTGAGCTTTGGAGCAGGCCAACTGCTCTAGCAGGTCCCACAACTTGTAGTCTAAAGGATTGAGGTCCGGACTCCCTGAGGGCCAATCTTCCGCAGCAATGAACTCTGGCACATTGCTTTCCAGCCAGCGCTGCGTACTCTTAGCCTTGTGAGCGGGGGCGGAATCCTGCTGGTAGACCCAGTGTTGGTTGGCAAACAATGTACCACTTAAAGGCTTGACGATAGGATCCAGTATGTCGCTCTGATAGTTTGCCGCTTTTGTTTTCACGCCCTGTTTACAGAAATGGAGCTGAGTGACCCCTTCGTAGGACACCCCCCACCAAACCATGACTGACGCAGGGTGGTGGCCTCTCTCAACTCTCGGAATGATCTCCGAAGCTTCCTGTGAACTCCTTGCATACACTTTGTCATTTTGTCGGTTGAATTTTTCTTCTATGGTGAAGATTTTCTCATCCGTGAACAAAATCTTTCGGAATCCCCCAGCTGCGTACCTCTCCAAGAGCTTCTTGGATCTTGTCGCCCTGATGTGTCGCAAGGTGGCCGTAAGTCGCTGGCCCGTACGTCTCCGGTAAGCCCCTAGCCCTAGGTCTTGTTTAATGATGCGCGACATCGTCCGGACAGGAATCTTCATTTCCCTGGATAGGATCTTCTGCTTCCGGAGTGGATTCCTTTGAATCCTGGCTTTTACGGCTTTGATGGCTGCTGGAGTCCTTACTTGACGAGGTCTTCCGCTTCTTGGCCTGTCATCAACAGAGGACGTCTCATTGTACCGCTGAATGGTCCTAGACACAAATTTACGCGATATTTGAAGGCCGCGTAAGAGTTCAAAAATCTGACTAGCACTGTGATTACACTTATGTAAAGCTATCACTGCAATACGGTTCTCTGCCTTGCCCCACTCCATCGTTATGCTTCGAGAGATCAATACAAACTGAGGTATATGTAATTACCCGAAAAGCGCTTAATCAACTGACACCACAATGTAAACAATCGGACAAGTATTAACAGGTCTACACTTGTTTGAAAACGAGAGACAGAACTTATGGCATGACTACGTAGAAGCGAATTCCGTGGTGATTAATAACGTTTCTAGCCGTTTTTAGACGATTTTGAGGTAACTTTGTGGATCCCTAAATCCTACGCCACAAATACGTCTAACACGGCGTCACTGCAACACCTTAGAAGGGAAAAGCCCGTAATATAATGTCAGCAAGACATTAGTGGAAATACAGTTTTAAATTTCTCAACATATATATAAACCTTGAAAGACCCTTCAACCTTCCAAAAGTAAACCATCTGCCGCAGAATATGCGCTACATTTAATCTCTGAAAATGCGGTGTAACAGTGAAAGTAGTGAATGGTGAGAATCTGAAAAGAGATTACATTTTGCTCAACCCTCGTAATGTGGGTTGCAGTAAGACCCGATAATACACTTTTGGCACTCATCTAGAACCTAGATCATACTGATGAGCCTGAATAAAGGAGTAATGATGTCATCTATAACTGAATCGGTCATTTGACCAGACACAATTTGCATTTTCTAGAAGAAAAAAAAACTGTCACTGACAAATAATAGTTATTTATTATACAAGGGAAAAAATACTAGATTTTAGCTTGAGGTTGTAGACAAAAAATATATTATTACAATATTTAAGTCAGAAAATTATCGATTTGAAATTTGAATTTTGAAATTAGTAGGCTATGTTGTGCATATAGCGACAATTAGACCTGTGTTGCTAAGGAAACTTTTAAGTAATCAGATAGCTGTCAATTTAATTTTGTGGTTTGATTTAAAAATTGTGAACTTAGTGTTTGTTCAGAAGTTATTTTTAATACTATAAAGTAAAAAATGTCTGATTTAGAGTTTTCTTTGACTCCACCGGAATTAGTAGAAGTAGACAAAGTAGCGTCACAAAAATTATTGCTAGCTAAATCGCGGAAAATTTGCGAAACCGCGTATCCAAGATTCATGGAATGGAAGATGAAAAAAAAAACATGCAGTTATTTGTCGGAGACGGTGTTATTGGCTTATTTTTCGGAATTGGCACAACAACAAAAGCCATCAACACCGTGGTCAAATTATTCAATGATTAAAAGTATGTTACTATCCAATAATAATATGGACATTTCAAAATATTTCAAACTAATTACATTTCTGAAACATAATGGGAAAGTTTTGCGATTTTATGTTTATACAATATCCGGGAAAAAAGTACTAATTTTTTTTCAGGGGGAAAAAGTAATTTCATATAAAGTGTTATTTTGTTACCTGTCAACAGAGATAAAATGTCAAAATTTTTTCCCGTCACAGAAAAACCAGTTTTATTAGCATGTCACATCTTTCAGTTTCGGACATCTTAAAAAGGTACACACACTTATTCGTTCAACCTTCTTTCCACGTGCTTATTTGCCTACCAGAGAGAAAAATGGTTTGTGTTTTATACTTTCTATGCGAACAGCTTTTTAAAATATTTAGCATTTAATTACATAAAAACCTTCTCAGAAAAACAAATGAGGAGGTAGTGAGTCAATACCTTTAGTAAGAAAGAAGAAAACTTAAAAATAGGTCATTTCAGGCAAAACGGATAAGGGTAAGTGTATACAATGCTTTTCTTTAATGTCCCCCTCCCCTTTGATTTTTTGAACGGATCAATTCTAAAAATTAAAACTTGAGGCAGCAATGAACTTGATGCGTGGATACCATATTTTAGAGTAAAATTGACAGATGAAAATGTCAAGATGGCTACTTCGAAAAAAAATTTATATGCAAACGGGGGTCTTGTGGCACATCATTTTGAAGCTCCTGACGAGTACTTTATAACCCTAGAATATAAAGTCAATACCTTTACCTACTACAAAATGGTGAAACATTTAATAATTACCTGAATACATTGCCATTTAACTTGATAATTCGAATGAATACGTTGAGTTCAGTTTAGAAGATGCTGGAAATGGTTGCCTTGAACTTCTTGTCACAATAACAGTCGGTCCGTAATTTCGCGTCGAACATTTTCAAACATCGATATTTCTACAAATATTTGTTATTCTTAGCCGTATATCCAATATTGAAGCAGGTTCAGTTTCTTCAGTTGCTTCAAATAGCCCCATAAAAAAAGTGTAAATGTGTGAAATCTGGCGAGCGAGCAGGCCATTCCCTAGGACCTCGACGGCCAATCCAACGACAGAGGAAATTGCTATCTAAATAATTTCTAACTTGTCTGTAGTAGAGTGGTGGAGCACCATCTTGCTGAAATACAATATCAGTATCGAATTCATTAGGATTCGCTTCAACGATTTCGGTGATTAGAGGGTCCATAGTATTTTCCAGAATATCCAAATACAGCTCCCCGGTTAAAGTTTGTTCGATGAAGACCCTACAATATGATTTCCCAATATCCCAGCTCTAACGTTAATTTTTTGTGGATCTTGAGTATGACTTTCCCGGAAGACGTGAGGATTGGTGTCACTCCAATAAGGTCCATTTTGTGTATGCACATTACCGTTGAGAAAAAAATGTACATTCTTCACTAAAACAAATATTTTGGATATAGGTAGGATGCCGTGCAATGGTTTCCGTCATAGTCTCGCAGAATTCTGTTCTTCGATCAGGGTCATCTCCAGTTAGCTGATGTACCATTTGAATTTAGTATGGGTGATACTTATTATTTTTCAAAAGTCTTCATACAGTAGAAGGACAAACCTCACATACACGATGGAGGAAGTAGACTGTTGTGGATTTATTATGATCTCAACGATTATTTGAACTTACTTTTCTTCTGTAATAGCTGTTAATTTAGATACAAGTTCCCTTAAATATTTTCTACTGATAGGACGAATCGGGAAACGATCATTAAAAATCCTTTCGCTCTCGTGAAAGTTATGCGTCGCACCATAAATAAAAATCGCTTCGATTTTTTTTCCAATGGACGAGAATTGACCATTTTAAAAACAGTTCAAACAATATCTAGCACTAAAACCAAAAACTAAATAAGAATATTTCAGCTGTACAATGATTTTTGTTTTCGTACTGATATTCTTGCCACTGTCAACAAAAAATAACAAAACAAGTTTTTATCTTTGTTGCTGTGGATACGGCAGGGAATTACAATTATTTGTAGAGCTGTGCATGCTGGTGGGTTTGTGGTCAGATAATTTTTAAATGTACCAGCATTTTGTAGTAGGTCAAGTTATTGACTTTATATTGTATTGTTATAAAGTACTCTACGTCAGGAGCTTCAAAATTTTCATATAATTTGTTTTTCCAAGATGGCGTCCAGCGGCCGTCTTGACATTTTCATCTGTCAATTTTACCCTAAAATATGGTATCCACGCATCAATTTCATTACTTCAAGTTTTAATTTTTTGAATTGATCCGT